GCTTGAGCCCAGGAGTTTGAGGTTGCTGTGAGCTAGGCTGACGCCACGGCACTCTAGCCCGGGCAACACAGTGAGACTCTGTCTCAAAAAAAATTAGTTAGTGTGCCTATGCGAAGAGGAAAAGAAGCTGTTATTTATTGAGTACTAGCCACATGATAAATGTATATGCATGTGTATAATTTGATTTAATGCTCATAAAAGCCTTCAAGATAATATTATCCACATTTTATAGGTTAGAGAAGTGAACTTCAGAGAGGTTGAGTGCCTTGCCCAAGGTTATGACAGATCTTTTTGACTCTTAAGGTTGATGCTTCTGATTAAAACCAAGCAGACCTGGTTTTGAATCAATCTCAGGTCCATGACCAGTTATGAACAGTTCTTCATTACTCTTATCATCGAGTATTATCTGCTTTGAAATCATGGCCAGAGTGACTTAAAAGAAAAAAAATTCTCGTGATTGTTTTGAATTGTATTTTTATTTATTTGTGAAGATGGGGTCTTGCTATGTCACCCAGGTTGGCCTCAAACTCCTGGGCTCAAGTGATCCTCCTACCTCAGCCTGTAGCTGGGACTATAGGCGCACACCACTGTGCAGGCCGAATTGTATTTTTTTATACTTATTGGCCATTTATATTTTTTTCTTAACATTATTCATGTCTTTTGTTGTTCTGGCATATTTAAATTTTTCTTGACTGTATATTGATTACCATATATTGATTCATCATGTATTTATTATATATTCAAATTTTTCTTACTGATTTAACATCCATATCGTAAAACAAATAAAGTGAACATACCTATATATTCACACTTACATCAATTTCCAAGTCATTAATCCCTCTCTCAAAGGTGATTACTTTGTCTTCTATAAATTAATTTTGTCTACATTTAAACTTTTTAAAGGAAATCACATATACAGTGTGTATTCTTTTATGTGTGGCTTCTTTCTCTTTAGTATGTCAGATTCATTCATGTGGTTGAGTGTGGCAGTAGCTCATTCTTTTTCGTTGCTCAGTAATATTCTGTTGTATGAATGTGCCATGATTTATCCATTTTACTGTTCTTGTTCTTGGACATAATGGTTGTTTCTGTTTGGGGGTCATTGAGAATATTCTTGTCTGTGTCATTTGGTGGACATATGTAAACATTTCTGGTGGATATATAGGAGTGGAATTGCTCCCTCATAGAGTGTACATGTTCAGCATTAG